GGGGGGGGGGGGGGGGGGGGGGGGGGGGGGGGGGGGGGGGGGGGAAGGGCTTCCGGGAAATGAACCCCCTGCGGTTGGGAGAGCGTCGGGACGATCATGATAGGGGGGAGAGGAAACGATACTGAGGGGATGGAGGTTCAGTCCCATGATCGCTGGCGAGATGTCCGCGCGAAACAACTTTCACTTGCTTGCACCGTGTCCCTTCTCTTGTTCTGAGGACTGCTGGAGGTGGAGGGATGAGGGGAAAAATGTTGCCAGGGCTGGACATTTGGAAGCCTGAAAGGAAAAGTTGCCCATCTGCAAAAAATAAAAATTATTCTCTTGTGCTCCTTTAGGGAAAGTAAAAATATTCTTGCTACTGTCTTCTTAAAAACGAGGAAGATTAGTTTGTGCCCAAGATCAGTTTCTTCCGTATTAAAAAAAATAGAGCATATCATATAGCCATTACCTCTTCACGTAACGCCTTCCGCTTCAGTGAGCATCTTTGCAAGGAACTAAGGAGCAGATAGGAATCCCCATACGCACGGATTTCATTACACAAGTTATGATCCAATCTCTGTCGGCTTTGTCTGGACAGTAAAGCATAACGTAAGTCCCTTCCACTCTCCGAAGTTAAAAACAGGACATCCTGAGTCGATGAAATGCGTCATCAATTGATGAGTTATGAAGGAGGCATCCCGCTCTGCGGCACCCGATTCATCAGAACGACTTGCCCTGTCGTTTCTCGATTCATTGCCGTCCGGTCTCTCGTGCTTGGAATCATGTGGACTCAGCTGAAGGGGGTGAAGCGAGAAGAGACGATGTGAAAAGTGCGGACGACATGGCGACTTGGAAACACAATGTGTTCTTTCCGTTCCTCCTCATCGCGAGTATCCCGGGGGGATGCTGGATGGGAGGGAGCACGAAGACCATCTTCGTCCCGAAATGTTGTCCTTTGGAGGAAGGATACGGTCTAGGTCAGGGAAAATGCGTCCCGCGTCCGTTTCGCTGGAGGCTTGAGGCTTTGTATTCGGAGGCGGGGGAGATGTTGAATGGCTCAGAATATGAGTTTCTCGTCGGTGTCGACGACCTGGTTGCGAAACCCTGCTCTTTGCAGTTCTTGGTCCCGGGCTTGGATCCATGGATGCATCATGAATTCCTCGAAACGGGTCGGCTCTATGTCCCTGCCGTGAGTTCCACGTATCCATATGGGGAATTCTGCCTTGAGCATTTACTTCTCCCCGACGGTTCCTGGATTCAAATGGCTCTTACCTGCGATCCAGAAGAGAAGAAGATCCTTCGAGAATGCAAAGAGAGAGTGTGCGTCCAAAAATGCTGCCCTTTGAATACGTTTCTGGACGTATCCCATGGGGGACCCAAGTGCTTTCTGGGTGGAAAGGTCTGGGATCTCATGAAGCTCTTTGGGCCTCATCGCGAAGATGGACGTCCTGCTGAGAACGAGATCCGAGACATCACGAGCTTCCCGAAATGCCAGGGGATCCCAGGCAGAATTTATACGCTGCAGCCAACTAAGAACCCGAGAGACAGTTTCGCTTTAACGTCGTCTGGGGCATTGAAGGTCGAGAGAGCCGGGATCGAGATCCAAGCGCCCCTATACTGCATCGACGATACTGGCAAAAGCGGCGAAGCAATGCAGCTCGTGGCCGTCGTCTGCGCCAGGGATGCAGACCCAGAAAGCGAGGCGATGCACTCCATCAAATCCGCGCTCATCATTCTGATGATCACTTTCCTGCTTCTCACGTTCCTCCTCTACCTGCCTCTGCCCGAGAGCAAGAGTGTTCACGGAGTGACTCTTCTCTCCTACGTCGGCTGCCTCCTGGTCGCCAGCGTTGCCCTTTTGGTCGGCCAGATCGGCACCAGCAACGCCATCTCCAACTCTCTCTGCCTTGCTTCCGGTAACGCTAAAAGTTTGAGTTGTATGAGTTTTCCATCGAAAACCTTGAAAATAAGACATTTGAGCCCGTTGAAATTGCTTCAACGTAGGTCTCGTTCATGAGTTAGGGCTGCTTGAGAAACGGATTAGGAGACAAGGTTGTTTAGGTTAAAAGTTTCCCAAATCTAATTTTCTTTTGCGTACTTGCCTTGGTGGAATCAAGAAATCCGAAACAATAAAGCAAAGACTATCCGAAGGGGGGGGGCGTAAGAGTAAGTTTCTCTAGCTCTTCACTTCGCTGTCGTAGGAATTATCCCTCCAGGGAAAAGGTAACTTTTGTTGCCCTCTCCCAGTTGGAGACGAACCCAAACCTCTCCCACTACGCCCTCCCTCCCCTCCCGCCTGTTGCCCTCTCCCTGTTGCCCTCTCCCTGTCATTTGTTGTTCCCATCTTTTTCGTTGAGTATTATATAAATATGAATTCCACTGACGCTTTACCACGAATATGATGAAGTATCTGACTGTCAAAGACTTTTTGCCACATTTAAATACTTTTTTTTTTACTACCTTTGCTCCCGTAATTAATGTCGGCTTCCTATTTTGTCCTTCCAGCCCTGTTCACCTTCTACGGGTTCCTCGCAGCATTCGCCTGGCTAAACGTCATGAATTTCGACGTCTGGCTCGATGTCAGGTGGGCGAGGAGACCCGCAGGTCTCAAATGGTCCTGAAATAGCAATAATCCTTGTGATGTGCTTCTTCCCACTTTTATTCACCCCATATTTCTCTCTTTTATATGCATTTCAAAGGATCGGTATACTCGAGTTTTTCTTTGGGCTTAGTTCTCTTTCCTTCGCTGGCTGCATCTTCCAGAACCGATCGGAAGACGTCTCCATTCGGAACGGGGAAGAAGAAGAAACTCTTATTTTACCATCTTTATGCGCACGGGATCTCGTCGTGTATCTTCATGGTCGGATGCCTCGTGGAATTCGCCTTTGGAATCTTTCCTGACATCATCCGACCGAAGCCGAAACCCAACGAACGATGCTGGCTTGGCGGTAAGCACATTATCGGCCAACTCATCCGCTTGTTCCTCAGACGAGTCAGCTGTTCCTCAGACGAGTCAACTGTTCCTCA